AGTCAGGAGAGTGGAGATGGGACGAGGTTATAAAGGAGGAGAGAGGAGAAAGAGCAGCAGATGGAGGAAAGGAGGAAAAGAGTACACAGACCAAAGAGACAGGTGCAGAGAGAGAGAAGATCGTAACACTGGTAAAGAATTTTCCGAACTTAATGAAAGAAGATGGTCTGTTGCCTTTACCAAAAGAGATAGGAAAGATTGGAACTGGTGAGCATCCAGGGGGATGGAAGCCGGGAGTGGGTTTGGCTTCTCGCCCAGCGGTGGACGGAGGGACCCTTGGTGGAGCCAGCCCTTTCCTACCCAGGCTGGAGGGATCGGTTGTGGTCCATCCTTGCTGCAGGACTACCTGCTCGGTGCTGACAATGCCAACCGTGAATCAGAACACAACCATTCATTTTGGGGGGAAGAAACAGTAAAACCCAAAGATGTGGGACCTGGGGTGAAACCGAAGAAGTATAACATGTTAACAAACAAAGAGTTGCCGGACCCGTTTGGTCCAGAGTTACTTGATGGAAAAGTTAATAAAACTAATCCTTTCTTGACCGTTACTTCGACTCTGGCTGTCATTCCCGCCGAATCCCTTGGCCCGCCCATCCTAGAAAAGGAACCCAATCACAAACCTCATCCAGGATGCCATGGGCAACCAGTGAAGGTGGGCCAGAACTGGAGTCCTGTGGTCACTTGCAGAGTCTGGCTGCCGCATTCTGGATCCGCTGAAGTCTCTGGGTCAGGTTCAAGGGGAGCCCCACATAGAGTGCTGCAGTAGTCAATCCTGGAGATGACCGGGACTGCACTGAAATCCTGACGGAGTCCTTGTCTAGGTAGGGGCAAAGTTGGGTGTGGTGTTCACCCTTGTAGCCCCTGCTTATTTTGCCCTCACAAAGGCACAGGTTGTTTTATCTTCTCGATACCACCACTTGTGGTGTTCACCCAGTGCCCCTGTTTAATCTCCCTTAAGCATAGGTTCACCTTCTGGGTGCGTTTCCACTTTACACGCTGCCACCAGGTGGTATTCACCTAATACCAATTATGTATTTCAGACATGTGTGCTGCCAAGTATAGCAGGTTTATTGAACATTTGAGTTTGAGAATCAGAGGTTTAAATTATAGAGGTTCTTTTATTGTCATGTAGATCACAATGGACAAATCACATGTTCAGTATAGTTCATTAAATAGGATTTGTTTATGCATTGGTTTGATGATACTTTTATTTAGAACAATATACTTTTACTAATGATCTATTCTCTATTACTTATAACTCGTTCTCTATTCCCTTTATCATTCCAACTGTTCAATCTATGTATTAACCTCAATTCCCTCTCCTAACTCTCCCACTCCAAATCACTATCTATCTTCTGCCTCTCTCTAACTTCTGTCATTTTTCTTCTCTAACTCTTAACTGTCATTTTCACTCAACTGTCCCTTTGACCCCGCCCCTCCTGTCCTATCATTGGCTCCTCCCTTTGGATCTTTCATGATGGACAGATAGGAGTGACGTCATGTGTTGGCATTTCACCACATAGGGCGATTAGCCTAAGCTGTTTAAAGGCTTCTCTGGAAACTGCTGCAATCTGGGACTACCAAGAAAGAGCTGGATCCAGAAGAACACTCGGATGAACCACTTGGTCCCTAAACTGGAGAGGAGTACCATCCAGCACAGAGACCATCTCCTCTAACCTATTGGAGGTCCCTCCCAGGAGCAAAATCTTTGTTTGTCCAGATTCAGTTTGAGCCTGTTAGCCCTTGTACTGCAGCCAGGCAACGCTCCAGCATCTGGATGGCATCCACTGCAGATGTGGTAACAGAGAAATAGAGTTGGGTGTCATCAGCATACTGATGACACCTTACTCCAAAACTCCTGATGATCTCCCACATGGAGAACATAAATATTAAATAGCATCAGGAATAGTACCAATCCCTGAGGAATCTCATACTGTAGGAAGGATCAGAGGCAGCTCAATGCTAAATTCCCAATCCCAACCTCAGAGAGCCTATCCAGGATACTGTGGTCGATGGTATCAAAAGCCGCAGAAGTAGCAGTTCTGGAGCACATGACTGCATCAAAATGCCAGATGCAGGGGAGTGGTATCAGGAGACAGGTATCTAGATTTCTCATGTGCTCCTAGAGGCATCTAGTGGGGACACTGTGAGATATAGGGAGCTGGGCTAGATGGGCCCTTGGCCTGATCCAGCAGGGCTCTTCTTATGTTCCCTGGCACAGCTTCATAAAATGGCAGGCAGAGGACTCCTTGGGGGTCACACTACAGACAGGAAGCAAAGCATGGTCTCCACAGAGGTATGCTAGGTCCAAAAGCTCTGTTTCCAAATTCCCATTTTTATACAAATGAATTATTGTTGCCTGTGGTGAGGCCTACCATCACATAATTGCTCTTAATCCTCTGTGATCCTTCTGTAAGACAAAAGGCAGCTTTCCTGACCTGCCAGATCTGTGTACATCTCTGGGAAAGGAAGTAATCTGACTCCCCTCAGGCCAAAGGTCACAGCCAGAGATGCTAGTGTCCTCTTGATAGAAGGCAAGCAATGAAGTATTTGCTCATCTCATCTTAGAAGTTACAGGCAAGAAGTGGAAGGTACCAACTGCTTGTTTCCTATTTCATCTCTAGTTAAGTGATTTAAGATCACATACCCTCAGAAACACACAGAATTCAATTTTTCACGTTCCCCAAGACCGTAATTTTCTTCATATACCTCCTGTTACTTTCAGCTAGGATGATGACCTTAAAGTGAACACAGCTGGATGTCAGATTAATGGGGCAACGACGATTAAACTTTTTTTTACCAACGTACAGCCTCATGTTCTTAAAACAGCCTCCTCTATACCCAAATGTAGGTAAAAGATTTGTGTCCGTTAATCTTTTTTTTCATTCTGGCAGGTAGGCATTACTGCAACAAAGAGGTCACACCAGCTGCATCTTAAAGCTATCGCTGTTTTTGGCCAACCTGAGCTGTGATCCAAAGCACAAGTTTTCTCAACAGGACCGCTGCTTTTTGCATCCATATTTAACGTCCATCTTTGAGGGACTTGCGTACAAATTTGTTCTCGAGGTTTCCTTCGCCCCACAACAGCTCCCTTTTTGGTTATTGATGTCACCGCTATTCGACGTCACTGGCGTTTCCCAGGTAATGAACTGTGATGTCACAGAAGGCGGAGCGGGAACAGAGAGAGAGGGAGAGCGCTCGCTTCAGCGCTGCTCTGCCTTTGTGCCCCCGCTCCAGGTCGCAGTTTCTATGGCAACCTAAACCTGTGCTAAAAAAGAAGACGGGCCGGCGAGAGGTCTCTCGCTTCGCCTCGTCTTGAAATCTGAACAGGGAGGGAACCCCCGCGGGCTCAGGAGGCGGCCAACCGTACTCTCTTCCCTCGGGCGTGCCTTTGGAGGAGGCGAAACCCAGGCAACCCGTTGAATAAATAGACCCCTGAAGCGCCTTTGCTCTGCGACGCCTTCCTCTTTCGCGGTGCAAATGAGAACTCAGGGGCCGAGTAATAAACTTCCCCTCCCTCCCTCCCTCTCTCCTACCCCCTGAAGAACTGG